AGCCAGCACGCTGGCTACCATCATAGTTGAAGTGGGTAAGCCAGCACGCTGGCTGCCATTGTCCCCTTACCAGCAGCCCAAATGCTCACGACGATGAGCTGGGCTGTCACCGCTTGGCCGCCGGTGGGGGGTTTGGGAGGCCGCATCACACACAGACACCCACACACTCCCTCAACTTACATGAACACACACATACGCAGACTCATTTCCACACGGACATAGACACACGCACAGAAACCCACACACTACCTCAACTCACTCGACTTCACACTTCTCACTGCACACTTACCGGATAACTCGCACTCTGACTTCCTACGTGATGAAAAATGCTTTCGGGCCACTCGTCGTCTAGTTTTAATAGGGGGGGGGGGCGTGTTTATTAATAGGAGGATGGGATTATTCCTCCAGTTTTTGTTGCCAGCTCAGCTGCGGTTGCCCCCGCTGAGACTGCGAACTCAGAAGTCGAAGTGCTGGAAGCTCAGCACCAACCGCAGCACCAGGAGTCAAGTGCCCCACCTCCACATCAGTTAAGTCGCATGGAACTTGTGAGAACGGCATGCAACGTCCTTTGAGCGGCAATGGGAACGCCACAAGGGACTGGACTGGGGCGAAAAATGGGGGGATCCTTTGGCGTCAGGCGTTTCACGGCTAAAGACCCCAACAGCTTCGGAAAATGGAAACTGCCAAAGGATCCCCACTACGAGCCAAAGCCGAGGTAGCACTAGAAACCAAGGTAGAAGCATTTTAAAAAATAGAAACAAAGGTAGCACTTAGAGCTACTAGTAGGGGAGAGAAGCCCAGTATGAAGATTCAAAAACAGTGCTGCCCTTGCGGACCAGCCAGGCCGGTCCGCTTCCTGAAGCTTCTGGCTCATCCCGTCTGCTTTGGGCAGTGTCCCATGCGCTCTCTGTGCCCGTCCCCTCAAGAAACTCCAACACTCGAACCCATCCACAAAGCCTTGAACCCCCGAATGCGCAGACCACAGCAGCCACGGACAATGATGCACACCTGGGAGTGTTCGACGTGCCCAGGTAAAAGATCTGAATGGTCACGTCACTGTCGAGGTCTAAGGGCCTTTTCTGAACATGGCATGGCAACATGCTAGCACGGCATGGAGGAGGACCTAAAGTGGGTATATAACCAAACAGAGATGTCACAAACAGAGCTTCCCATCGAAGCACCAGCGGCTTCACATCAAGACAAAGAGCTTCACACCGAAGCTTCAGAACCCCAAACATCACGCTGAGTACGGAAAGGTGGCCAGTGAAAAGCGGGCACCACCCTGAAATTGATACAGTGGAAGGCAAAGCGCGGAGCAGCAAAATGGTACACTGCCGACGGCAGTGCCTGCCATTGGAACGAAGAACATGATAAGAGCATGAGGCGTCAGCCACGGAAAAGCCTCTGACTCTGACCAAGCACTGTAGCGTGTGCTTTGTTTGCCAACGAAAAAGCTCGTCTTTTGACGCTGGCTCCCTTCACCCAGCCAGGTTCACAACAAGTGGTGCGAAGTACCAGCCCAATCTTGTCTCAGCCGATCCCGTCGCAACCTTTGCGCAGGAAATCCCACCTGGGCATCATCTTCGCGGTGTCCTTCTTCAATTAAAGCTGTGCCGGGAAGAAAGTGCTGCCATTGCCCCGCCTGGCGCACACCCGTTTGACAACAAATCGGTCTCTGTCATAAAGTGTTCAGCAGCAAATCGCCTCTAGACATTCGTGGGTCTGAATGCAAAAGTATCACGTGCTGCACCGTGTCACTTTCAGGTACGGTATATAAATCAATGCCCAGGTCAAGCTTGCATGTCCAATGTCGAGCTTGCACCCGCTTCTAAAGACTGGTATGTTTTTGAATTTCAACAGTTGATAGATGCGAAAAGCAGTGCCTTGTTTTTGAAACCCATCTGTCTTGACAAACCCAAAAAGGCTTCCTGGATGCTAACAGCAGGAGGATTGGTGTCTGGTGTCCACCCGTCACGGCGGACGAGGCGGGCGGGAGCGGCGTTTGATCGAAACCCAGTGGTGTCCTGCCTCGGAGAGGGAGAGAATTTGTGTGTGAAGAACATGGTCTCCAAGCACCTGGAGGGACCAGGGAGACACCAAGTGACCGCCAAAAAAGGCTGTCATGTCACTGGTAAAATCACAGCGCTGCACTTTGTGACTTCGCTTGTGGCTTTCTTTGCCAAGACTTTTAGATTTTAGGCCCAGCTTATTACACTCAGCTGAATCTCTCTTCGTCGCAACTTGAGTCGAGAAGACTTCAGCCACGGCACTTTCTGGAGCTGCCGCTCATCCTGTGCCACAGTGTCAGGTCTGTCACTTGGTGGCCTCCCTTTTGTTTGGGGCTGGGAAGCCAAACCTTGTTCAAGCCAGCGTGACAAAAGGACTCGGGACTCGAGGCCTTTTAGGGAGACCAAGCAGTTTGTTTTTTGTGTTTGAAACGGTCAAATCTTTGTGGAGATTGTATGCAAAGCATTGAAGTGTGAAATGTACATTAGGGGCCCCTGAGAGGTATCGATATCATGACATCAGTCTTGTCCGACAAGGCCTCATTCCGGCACAGGCAGCACTTTTGCGTTAGATCTGCCTCCTCCAAAGATCTCGGGCGCTCGGACAGGAGAAGTCCAATGTGAAACAAGTTCACCTGCCATGACACATTCACGACTGTCATAGAAACCAAAACCCTCCAAAATCAAGACTGCAGATAACAGCAGGTCAGTCTTTAGTCTTTGGACTTCCAAGCAGCGAACTTCGCTCACTTTGAAACTTCGCTGCTTGGAACTTGGGAGCACTTTTGGTTGAATTGTCTACAAAAACATGCCGGGAGCGACCGCGCAGTACACGGAGTTCCATCCGACAGAGACCCATTGCTTCCTGGGTTGCACCGCCTGCGGGGCCGACCCAAAAACGAATCTTCAGCTGTAGTTGACCCAAATGTTCCGAATGGGATGAGATCGCGCAGGATTGTGCAGGTGGATTCTGATGGTTGATGTTCGACCATAGACGCCCCTGGCCTGAAAGCTGACGATCAGAGCGCAGCCCGTCAAAGCAAAGAGACGAAGCTTCAGCCTGATGCCGCTTTTTCTAGGCGCTTTCCTCCCCTTCGTCGCCCCACGACATGTTTACGTCATACAATGTTCCTCCTGTTCATCAACCAACGGGTTCGTCGCTTGTGCTGGGGATGGAAGGACCCTCCAAGAGACGCACTCAATAAACGTCTGCTGTGCGGATGAGGTAGTCTACTAGCCTCCTGTGCTGCAAAACCATCTTCGATGTTCACCAAAGCACCGACATAGACTGCTCACAGCCATGTCCTCAAAACTGCAGGCTCAGTCCCAAACATGTCTGTCATCACGTACTCGAAGAGGCCCGTGACATAGCCTGACCGACGCAACAGACCCACGGACTGCCTGGACTACAGTGACTACAGCAACGCTTCTCTTACTTCACAGGCGAACCTTCTGCCATACTCCGTGTCGCACTCCCATTTCGACGCATCGTTTCGTGGGGGAAGACTCCGCGAACACCGACATCGGCTTCGCGCGAACAGAAAGCTTGGTCCGCCCCGAAGAGTGCTCCGAATCAGGATCTCCGAAGGATCGAAAAAGCACTGCGGTCGGTTGTGGTGATTTGGCGCTTTTGGGGCGTCCCACCGGTTTTAACCTTCTAGCACGGTCTAGTCCCACAAACGCGGTCGAGTGAGGTGACTTCTTCACCAGAAAAAGGTCGCCACCTGCATGACCACATAGAAGCCCCAGCCGCCGCTTTGACTGGAAGGCGGACGGGTGAGACTGACCAAACTCAACATCCGAAGCTTCCTTGGTGCTATATCTGTTGTTACTTTGGATATATGTATGTATATATATATATACATAAGTCTACTAGGTGTGGAATCTAGAGTCTTGGCATCGCATGCCAAACTTCAGAACGAAATATCAGTGCAACAAGAGCAGAAAACCATAAGAACAAATCGCTGAGACAAACCCTCATTCTAGGCCCGACCAAGTTTTCATGTCGTTCAGTATCTCGGTCCTTGTCTGCTACTGAAGATTCACCTGCCCAGTGTAGTTTCGCTCACTTCCAGGCCTCTTCTGACCATTTACTTCGCCGAAAAAAATATTGACTCCGCAGATGGGAGAAGCCTCGGTACCGAAAAAGGTCAAAACCCACAAATGATTGAAACAATCCAGCAGGTTGTCCTCCGAAACATGTTTTCATATTTTAAGGGCGATGGCGATGACTTCCTGCGGGCCACCCGGTCACCCGGTACCTGGTCTCCAGCTGAACAAATAAACACCCCTTGGTAGAACAAGATCATTTGTTGAATACCAACTCTGTGGTCAACACACAAATTGAAGATGCAAACACCACTCTTTCTTCAACAAGTTCCGGCTACTTTGCGAACACCGTTGTCTCGAATACAAGGGGTCCAGGCAAGTACAAACGAACGTGAGTGATTCTCCCCAGTAGGGCCGGTTTGCCCCGTCATCCACTTTCTGCATTGCACAAGGAATATGTTCTGAGCAAGCAGACTGATGCGCGGTCGGCCCATCACTTGTTTTTTGCGAACTCATGGCGCGAAATTGGATCTTTTCGCGAAATTGTACAATTATCCCTCAACCAATGGAGATAATCCACGGTGGTTGATCTAAACTTTAATTAACATAATGTCAAAAACCATTTGAGTTAATATATGCTAATCAACAAGGTGGTGCACAAACAAAGCTCACCATGATTTAGTAGCGCAAGTGAGTTTACCGTTTGAATGCACATGACACAAATCTCAATGCCTCATCTTGACCCATGGTGTGCTTCGGAAACCGCGAAACGAGCATCATGTCAACAAATCCAGCCAATGAATCTGCTCTCCGTTTCACACACATCCTGCATGGGATTGAACACATGATGTGTTTGCGAATCCGCACGCATTCATGAGCCACACATGTTGACAGTAAGCCCCTTTAACAGAAAGGATAATTTGTTGGAACCTCATGTCTCCCAAAAATTCACGGCCAAACTTTTGGCCTCCTGAAGTAGCGAATATGCAAAGCAAGATTGAATCCACACATCGATTTGTATTTCAAGTTTTCTAATGCAGCTCTTTGACACCCCACCTCAGGGCCTGACAGTCCTCTTCAAGTCTCTACTTTTGCAAATTCCATGTGGCATATTGTATCATTTTTGGCTTGTAACATGAAGCAAGTGCTAATGAATAGGAATTGTGAGAAAACGCCAAATGTACTTGCCACAACAAATCTCAAAAGAACCTCTTTTAAACAAAATATATATATTCTTGTCCAGTCCGGGTGCAACCCGACACTGTTTTGTTTAGATTTTATGATATATGTTTGTTTCCTCTCGGGGCGTACGTTGAGGTCAGGCCTCGCACCGCTAGAGACATGAAGTAGGTACAAGAAGAATTGAAACATGAAGTGGAGCCAAACAAAGTGAAACCCAGAAGTGCATGATTTAGTCTGGAAAGCACTCGAAGCTGTCAGGCGACAGGTTCAGGTTGAAGAAACGCCGGAGAACTCGAATTAAGGAAAAGCAATCCCAAGTTTGCATCAGAAAGAGAAAACCAGTACGATCTTCTCCGTTGCTTAAGAAACTCTCCATTGATAGGCTCACCTCTGTGAGACTGACTATCTGTAAGAGTTTGAACCGCGATGTGATTGTTCCAAAGTCAAGCAACTTAATTGTTTTTTGCGTTCCGTCCTGCACCCTGTTCCATAGGTTGGTGAAAACCGTTGACCTCTGGACACCCTCTGCTTCGCAAATTAATGTTCACCAAAGGCTCCGTAATCTGGGGCGCACTTAAAGATGTCACAATTGCATTCCTGCATTTAAGAATAATTGCTGCTGGGACCGCAGCTCGGAAGTACTCAATGATGAATCCAATAAAATCAATAAATACCATTAAAAACCAAAAAAAAAAGGGTGGGTTAACCTGCCCGTGGGACAAGGGTAAGGCAAAGGAGACCCTCATGCAGCCAAACCGGAGATCTGTCATGCAGCCAAACGGTCCTGTAGCCATAAAGTTCACTTCTGGTTAAATCGGTCAGGCAGCCAGGCTTCACACCCCTCTCTCTCCTGCTCTCTCCTTTGATAGAGGACCATCTCCCCCAAATCGAACTTAGAATTGAAAGAATTGAAAAAATCAACATATTCAAAAAATGTCATACCTGCACTTAAGGAAATCACCTCAGTACTGACAGGGCTTGGTATG